TACAGGAAAGAAAGAGAGAAATGGTCCTAAGCAGCCCCCATGCCTATTCCAGCCTCAGAAACCTTGAGGCAGGTTGGTTTGTGCCCTCGCAGAAGGAGAACCAAGCCAGGGAGCTGGGTGTAAGGCTCCTTATCAATCCAGAACCTCTGAAAAGCTCTACCTTCAGAACAGGGCATGCTAGAAACAAAACTCACGCACAAGCACAGGGAAATAAAAAATCGGGTATCTATCTGGTCTCCAAGTAGAAAGCTCTCTGAAGATTTGTAACCAAGAGCCTACCCTCATGTGAGTTTCTGGTTTGAAATTACACTGAGCCAAAAATGATCATAAAAACTGGTCTCTGAAGCACATGCGGAACCACTCTAGTGGGGCCTGCCTTCAACCCCAAGCCTCAAGAATCAAGTGAAACCTACAGAAGATGACCTCACAAATCAAAACTGAAAGAATTAGTTATAAAACAGATGCAGAAACAAAAGGGAATAACTGGAAAAAGGAAAGACACGTATGGTAAAGAACCAAGTAGAATTTTGAGATTATTTTATTTATTATGAAAAATCTTGAAAATGATAAATTCACTGGACGAGTTGAAGAGCGTATTAGATACAGCCAAAAAAATCAGAGAATTTTAAGAGTGATCTGAAGAAACTACCTGAAAGAAACACAAAGGGATAAAAATATGGGAAATACAAGAGAATAACCAAGGTGCTTGGAGGAGCATGAAGTTCAATACACATCTGATAAATCTTCCAGAAAAAGTAGGAAGAATTGGGAGATACCCTATTGCAGGAGAATGGAGACAGAATTCAGTGATAATGACAGAATTTTTACAACTGAAGATAAACTCGAATCTTCATACTCAAAAACCAGAAGTCTTTATGGGGAAATAGTAAATATAAATAAAGTCATACTATCGTAAAACTTCAGAACACCAAAGACGAAGAGAAGAACTTAAGAGCAGCTTACTCACTATGTGGTACCAGTCAAGTACTTCATCTCTCTGAGGCTCATTACAATTCCTCCCTTGCACAGTTGTTAATAAGGAATTTAGATGGTGAAATGTCAGATGCCTAACAAGTAAACCACATGCCAGGTACGTGGTAGGTAAACCATGAAGGGTCTTGTTTGTATTATAGCAAAGAAACATCCCTGTGTGCCTTCAGAACCAATGCAGTTTTAAGACTTGTTTTCGTTTTTTGAAAACACTATTCTTTGATCCATAATCATTCCAGAAGAAATATATTTCTGTATAACCAAAACATCAGTTAATAAAAACACTCCCTTCTCCAAACATGTCAATACAGACCATGTCTTTCATTCTCAACTATGCAAAGTTTTTAATCACTTTGGAAGAAAAAAAACTAATTTTACATTTCATTGTTTAGAAAGAAAAATATATGGTATCACTCATATGTGGAATCTAGAAAAGAAAAAAGAAAGAGGACACTAATGAACTCATCTACAAAACAGAAACAGACTCACAGACATAGTACACAATTTTACAGTTACCGGGGGAAGGGGATAAATTTGGGAGTCTGAGATTTGCAAATGTTAGCCACTATATGTAAAGATAGATTTTAAAAACTTTCTTCTGTATAGCACAGGGAACTATATTCAATATCTTATAATAACCTTTAATGAAAAAGAATATGAAAACGAATATATGTATGTATATGCATGACTGGGACATTGGGCTGTACACCAGAAGTTGACACATTGCAACTGACTATACTTCAATTTTAAAAAAAAGAAAAGAAAAAAAATAAGTGCCTTGTATTTTTAAGCAGTTAACTGTTTGAACTGATTTGAACAGAATTCACATGAAAAACATCTGCAATTTTGCAGAGTGTAAAATGGTCTGAATTAGGCTTTTCCATATTAAAAAATGAAACAGTTAAAACATTTGACAGAGTAGTACCACCTACCACTTGCTCACGTCTCAAACTGTGCTCAATGCTGTTTCTTAACAGCAAAGGTCCACGTCCCTAAATTAGTTACTGAGAACAGAGGACAGTATTGCAACTTGCAATTTTAATGACATCACAAACAATAACAGCAGGAGCCCTGCTCTTCAGCTGGCTGGTAGAGTGATGGGGAGAGAGGACGGGAAGAAAGACGGAGCACAGACCATGAAAAGCCTTCTGAATACGGGGTCGGGCCTGAAGCGAGTGCCCTCGCTGAAGCAGCATGTGTCACCTCCCCTTCCATTGGCTGTTTATCCAACATCAATACAACACTTTAGGAGCCAAATTACTAAACAAGCTGCCAATTAGGCCTGCAGTCAGCTGGATAGATTAGCAGCTAAGAGAGGCCGATACAAGATTTTCATCTCTTGAGCCAATTACGCAAGTGAATTACCATCCACAATACTCTTTGGAAGATTTGAGGGGGAAAGGACTGACTCAGCTGTAACAGAGACAAGAGACCCAGTACAAAGGGGGCCGGGAGCGGGAGCTGGCAGAAGGGTTAGCAGGCTACGGATTGCTAAAATTGCCCGAGCAGGAGGAGAGCCTCCTAGGAAAGGACTTAAAGGATTTAGCACTGCCAGGAGCCAAAGAAAAGGAAATTGTGGTTGTTGGATGCTGTGCTGAGACTGAGTTGTTCCACTCCCATGTCTTAATCTCATAAAAGAAGGATGAGAGACCAACAGTAGATCTCACTTTAGAGTCATTTTCCATGAAAAATGATGTATCTGGTGTTTTTTTTTTAAGTTGTATAGAAAAGCCATTGTTTTTTGTTTGTTTCGGGAATCCGTGTTTCTGTGGGGAAAGATTTAGCATTTGAGAAATTAAATATTCTTTTTTTTATTTTAAAGATAATGCTTTGTTTTATTTCATTTTTATCAAGAAAAGAAATGAAACCAGCATTAAAAAGAAAGAGAATGAAGTCTTTTCTCCCTGTCTGAAAACCAAGCATGGGAGGACTAGGGTACCCACGTCCGGGCCACCATGCTTGAAACACCAGCATTTTTAAATTATAATAGTGAGTCAGTTATTTGCTCTTCACTTCAAAACCGAGAATTGACCACAGTTTAGCAGTTTTCACGGCGATGTTTTAAATTGGCCTTATATTTTTTTTCTTAACTATTAAACATATTTTAAACCTGAGCATTTGTGTATCAAAAATATGATTAAGCAGATGTGCAGGCTAAAGCAGCATTAAGGCCTCTGATCTGATCTTAGCTTATAGATGGAATTAAATTAATTCATGGCAATCGCTAAAAAATTAGGGACAGAAGGCAAAATGCTAGTACACCATTTAACCTGACATACCTGATCAGCAGCTGTTCTGAAAAAAATCATATGCCTTGGTGGTCTGCCTTTGTTGTCACCATTATCATAATTCTAAAATAAAAACTCAAATCGCTGTTTTGTTACTATACTAAACAAAAAGCTTCTCTTTGTTTTGTTTTATTTGGTAAGAGGATGATTTTTTATATTTTATATGTATTTATATGCATATTTTATAGTTAAATATATATATAAAATCTTCATATAGGTGTATTTTGCCTTTGTCAGGAAGGAGGCAACTAATGTTAGTCAAGAACTTTTCTTTGATACCAGCCATTCAAGCAGTTCGCAGTTGAAGGTTTTCTCTATTACATGTGAAGATACTTGTTTCAGTGAGCCAAGAGCCAGTGTGACAAATCCAAAACCACCTCATTATTGCGGCAACCCACTTCTCACGCCCTGTAATGAAGTTAGCAGATGGCAGCAGTGTACTCTATTCTCGGTCTTAAAATGCACCTAAAATGGAGAATATCAAAATGTTCAAGAAAGGTCTTTCAAAAATCAGTTGAAGATTGCTCCGTAGTTTCAGTTATAAAACTCTTCAGTTTTAGCTATAAACTCATCAGTTCAGTTGTAAAACTCGTCCTTAGCACTTTGCAGGTATAAGATTCTCTAAGTTAGAATCATGAGGAACAACCCACTTGCCGTTCCCCAGAAGGACAGATGAAACCTAGTGTAACTTCAAGCTTGACATTTCTTTTATTATTTATTATCATTTTATTTTTCACTGTGAAAGACTTAACACCAGAGAATACGTGGAAATGTGTAGGTGCTGTCCTCTGTAGTCCCGTAGGTAATATTTATGTTACTGTTATTGGTGTTCAAGGATCCTTCTGGTGCCTCATATCACCATCCTAAACGCAGTCTTAGAGGAGTAGGACCAAGAGTCCCCATCCTGGGGGGTGGAGGTGGGGGGGGTCGAAAGTGCTGTCACAGTCCCAAATCAGGGATGGATGATGATGGGAAGGAGGTGGAGGGAGGATGTGGGTTGAGATCAGAGAGACATCTAACTCAAGCCTTTGAGAGTAGTGAGTGATTTTGTGAACAACTGCCCATTTCAACCCTCAGACCGTCTCGGAAAACACAGCCCACATTTCAGAGCAGAAATACACTGGGCCCAGGACTGAGATGGTGTGCCGCAGGCCTCTGGAAAGTGGGCCACCTGTCTCCCTGGAGGCCTGGGGAGGGAATGGCTGGCAGACACTAGCCCTATAAGTTCGTGGCCTCCGAGTCCTACAGCGGCCTTTTTGGGAGGCCCTGGTAGAGGAGACTCTACTGAATATCTTCTCACTAAGACAAAGGTTGTTTTAAGATAACTTTACCCCTTTTCTTCCCACACAGCCTCTCCTGTTAGGTTGTTTGGTCATCACTTCCTTAATTACCAAGGAAGAGTAACCACAAGAAATGATCCGGTAACTGAGTTTTGATTGCTTTGTATCACGCCTGTCTTACAGACGAGAAGACAGCAGCCCGAAGAGGGCAGATCACTTAATCAGCTCCTGAGTGGTAGAGTGAGACTCTGACCACGACCCTCTTTCCATTGATCCCTCTGCTGCACCAAGCCGCTCATCCAAAGATGAATAAACAGCCCTCCCGGGCACCTTGCTTGAAAGAGAAACTTAGGAAAATGTGGTTTTCTTAGCCTAAGAGTATCTTCACCTGAGTTCATACTAATGGTTTGTTTTTTTTCTTTTGGTCACTTTGTAATTTCAGGATTAGTAGGAGAAAACGCCCAGCCAATCCTCGAAACCAACATTGGAAACCGAATGCTGCAGAACATGGGCTGGACACCGGGGTCAGGCCTCGGCCGAGACGGCAAGGGGCTCGCTGAGCCGATTCAAGCCGTGCAGAGGCCCAAAGGGCTAGGACTTGGATTTCCTCTACCAAAAAGCACTCCCGCCACCACTGCCCCCAGTTCAGGAAAATCCGCCTAAGCGGAGAAGCACAGGAGAGATGTTTTACAAGTCTGATTTGCTACACGCATCTACCCCATTGTTCTCAGATCGCAACGTAGCTTCTGTGTTCGAAGCAGAAATCTGCCACCGCCTCGCCCCTGTCGCTCTAGCTTCCTCGCCGCGCCGAGTCCTGCCACAGTGATAGAAATGGGATTTCATCACAGGTCATGGTGCTAAAGTAAAAGCCTTTCTTTACCTTTTCACATTTTTCAGTGATTCCAGCTCCTAGGTATGAAGAACAGCTCGTTTCTCTTATTTATTTTGATCTCATACATCAGTAACGTCTAAAGCTTTAGCGTGATTCACTTGTGTGTGTGTGTGTGTGTGTGTGTGTGTGTGTGTGTGTGTGTGTGCGTGTGTGTGTGCGTGCGGCGGCGCATGTGGTACCCGAGCTCATCCAGAGGTTTCTGAAATGGGATCAGCCAGAAAGGGTTGTGTCTCACGTCATCCCCGTCTGTTGTAACCGTAGACACCTATCACCACAGCAGTGAAGTCCCAAGCAAATCTTTGTTTGAGAGGCTGGTCAATTTCATATTCCCTGAAATTGGCTTTTTTTGTTAAGGTGTCACCCGGGCGTCTTCAGTCCTCAGACAGTGGAGTATGAAGTTCACAGCTGACAAACAGCAATTAATGTTGCCCTCTGACATTTTGACAAAAATAAACCTCATCATTGTGATCACCAGAGTGCCCTCAACAATTACTTTAATGCAGATTTTATCAATTTTACCTCATTTAAAACATAAAATAATTATTGAAAGAAAAGAAGTGTATTTTTTAAATTCACCATGACTGAACAGTAAATTCTGTTCATCCAAACTTACTTCTACCTCTTTCTTCCCAAAGGGTGATATTTTTTTAAGAGCAACTCAACTGTAGTAAACTGATTTTAAATTTTAACTATCGGAGTAAATTAGAGTACCAAATCAATTTATTTGAAGATTTAAATGGCTCTCCCAAGAATTCAGAATTCTAGCAATGATCCAGACCATTTACAAGGTGAACAAAAAAAAATAAAGAATGGTACCGCTTTGCCCTTTCTAACATTTAAGCAGTACTTTAAAACCAAGCGAAACAAATCGTTCCTATTATGTGCCTAGTCTTGTTATGTCTGAATCACCTGCTTCACTACGTCGGATTCGAAACTGCTCTGTTTAGATGTTGCTTAGTTACCATCTTTCTTCTTAAGGACTAAGGTATTCTCTTTGTAATGATCTTTATTGGTTGAGTAAAGGCCAAGATAACACAATGTGAATCACATGTCTAAGGGTTTTGGTTTTTTTTTAAGCTTTGCTTTTCTAGAGTGTTAGGTTCACAGCAAAATTAAGGCAAAGATGCAGAGACTGCTCAGCCACCCTCTGCCCTACACATGCATGGCCTTCCCCATGAACAGCAGCCCCCATGAACAGCGTCCCCCATGAACGGCATCCCCCATGAACGGCATCCCCCATGAACAGCGTCCCCCATGTACAGCATCCCCCATGTACAGCATCCCCCATCAGAGTGGGACATTTGCTACAACTGGTGAACCTACATTGACACGTCATCATCCCCCAAAAGCCACAGTTCATACTACAGTTCACTCTTGGTGTTGAACATTCCATGGGCTTGGACAAACGTGTATGCACCATCCATCATACAGAGGCGTTTAATGGTGATAAAATTCCTCTGTGCTCCTCTAATAGGTTTTTGAAAATTTGTAAATCCCCAAGACTTTTTTAAAGAGGGGAAAGGAGATTAGTGCATGTAGTAGAGCTGTCCCAGGTGGTCCCTGAAAGGAAATACTGCCAGTGAGGGAAAGGAAGGTCGGCCTGCGATGTGAAAGGCTTGGTGATTTGCCAAATTACACGTCCCTTTTAAGAATTATCTTCTTTCCTAGAGGTATTGTGGTCAGAGGACAGGTTGCTTAGGGAACTAGACCACCAGGTGAGTTGCTCTTTTAGCACATTCTTGCTGGATGAAGTAGCCCCTTTGTATGATTATTTTCTACATGTTCATTACTTAGAAATTTGCCATTTTTAAAAAACGATTTTTGTTAAATGCCCATTCTATCTACGTAAGGGGTCAAGGTTGGAGGAGATTGTCTATATTTTGGTTTAAAACTTCTTTATGGTCATGTATCACGAGCTAGGATCTGTTCAAAAGTGTTTTGGGTTTTTTTGGTTTTTGGTTTTTAACTAATTCCACTGCCTGAAGATCTTCTGAAATCCTAGCATTTTGAAGAGCCAAGTTTGGAGCTACCAGTAACACACAATGAAGTTACCATGAGACTGACTGACCTCAGGCTCCAAAGGACCTGGCCCACTCTTTTCACGTCACCACGTTCTGACCCTCATGGTGAGAAAGAGCAGAGCACAGAGCAGGCAGCACAAGGGAATCCCTCAACTAAATACCGAGCTTTATGAATACTTTCTGCTGTCCTCCTGGACGGTACTAGTCTTCTGAAACAACCCCTCTGAGCGCCTCCTCCCTGAGCTTGGGTGTGCTCCGTCTCTGCCCTCCCCAGATAATTCATCTCTGTAGTTTCACTCAATAGAAGAAAGGCCTCAGTCTTGATATTTAGAGTCCTCTAAGTAGCTCACAGACGACTGAAAATATTTCTTGCTCTAAGGAAGTGTTTAAGGAGATCGAATCCGAGACTCAGTGTTCAGAGCAGAGCAGAGCAGTGGCGATGTCCCAGGCTGCCCCGTGCGCTCACGCAGACCTGTACCAGGAGCACATGTATCCCCTCCCCTTCTAGTCCTTAAGGGAAATCACGGCACACCCAAAGTCCTGCTTGGACTGGAACTTTATCAGAGAAATAAACACAATGGAAAAATGGAATTTTTAATGTCAGTCAGACATCTTTTAAGATATGAAGTTCACTAATGTATTTTTTATATATAGTAATAGCTAATTTTGACCAGTTACTATGACCATAGAACTCAAAGCATCCAAAGGAGTTCATGCTTTAGAATATATCAATCATATCTCTTTAAAAAGATGGTAAGATTTTTCTCTTCGCTTTCATAAAGCCACTCTTCTGCAGTTTCTAAAGCCTCATGTCAAATTAATTGCTTGTGCTCAAAATGTTAGAGAGTGCATAGGCCCCTCCATTACCTTCCAAATCATCCATTGCCCAGCAGCAGCCAAGAGAGGCTGAGCGTGGCTCTATTAGCAAATTAACTTTTTGCCTTTATATACTTGTTATAGTTGATATTGACCAGATTGTGTCCTGGAGTCATTTCCTTCCTTCCTTCCTTCCTTCCTTCTTTTCCTTCTTTTTCCCTAATGTTTAAGGCTATGTTCCCCTCAAATTCCTTTGCCTTTATTTTTAAATTTTATGGTACCCCTTTAAAAGAAAATCCATTGCTAACTGAAATTTACCGATTAGTTGATCTCAGTGTTTAAATACATAGATTTTTATAACTCATACCGTGGCCATCAAACAGAAGATAAGACAGTAGGGTTAAAGGTATGATATGCCTGATGTATACTTAGAGGTGTGTTTACAGGGCACATATGTGTGCAATATACAGACATGACTGCAAAATACTGCATTTTATTGATATGTTTATTTTAACACTGTGAATTGATATTCTTGCAATTAATTGAACTGACAGTTGCTTCTCTTCGATCTGTTTTTGTTTTGAGCAAATGCTTCACAAAAGAGAAAAATCACTGTTGACATGCTTCTTAAAACTATTTCCTCCTGTACCTTTTCTTTAAGAAAAAAAAAAGCGATCTAAATTGGTATTGTAAAATGAATTTGTTTAGCAAAGAATATTTTGGATTTTTTTTCTTTTGGTAGAAAGATATATTAATAATGCAACAAAGAGTGAGAGAATAAATGTAATGCTTAAGAATGTTATTTATAAGCAGTCCTTGTCTCTGTGCTTTGAATGTTTCCCTCTTAAAGGAATAAAAAAAATAAAGTGGAAGGACTTCAAATGTTTTTAATTACTACCCATTGACAGTTAACATTTAGCAGTGCAGTTAAATTCATTGTTAATCTTTAAGCCCTGAAAAATTTCAATACTGTCCAAAAAAACATCTACAGAAAAAAAAATGGTAAACGTATTTGACTCATTTATTCACAGCTGATTGTGACCTGTTCTACCACATTTTCCTGTTTTTGTTTTTGTTTTTCCCTGAAGCTGGACTAGACCAACTGGCTTCAGGTCTGTCACCATTCAAAGATTCTGATCCTGAAGTAGCAAGTGCAAGTTCTCTCTGACAACTTGCCAGATGTCAATCAGCAGTGTACGTGTCACGGTCCCTCCACTTCCTTCTGGGAAATTGTGCCTCATAAACTTGCTCCGATCCTTTAATTATTTTATACGAATTAAACTGTGGAGATCTGTTTGCTGTAGGAAGCATCTCACTACGTTGACAAAATTTTATCTTTTCTCCCAAAAAACTGAGTTGTGAGTTGTTAGAGTTAGTAGATTTTTTTTTTAATCCAATAGGTATTAAATACTCATTTATTTAACAGGCTTGCAGTAATATATACTCAACTGACAAGTGGACCATGAAGGCGCCTTCTGCTGGGTTCCTCCTAAGCAAAGACTCATTACTTTACACACCTGACATTTTAAGTAGATCCAGATTTGTCTCTAGCGAGTCAGTGCCATTAGCTGCCAGGGGTATGATCTACTATTGCCACTTTTAGTTTTATCTGTACATTAGAGTTGTCTTCTGTCTTTGAATTGTCAGACAGTTTAAATCATTCTCAGATTCACAGACCTCACTCCTCTTGCAGGATCAGAATGTCCTGTGTTTCCGCCTTAATCTTTCAAGGATGAACTTACTTAACAATTGAAGGCGATTTTTGTGTTTCTTTAGGTTTTTTTTTCTCTTAGTTTGAATATTCAAAATAAATTACTAGCATTTTAAATGTGTGTTTAATACTTGATCTTTTGGCTACAAAATGGTACAGACAAGACTATTATGACAGCATCCCAAGCAAAAAAATAAACACCCAAAATTATTTTCCACCAGTTTTCATCTTCCTATTAAATTTTAAGAAAATGTTTATTTCTTCCTGAAGGCAGCATTCTTTAATAAAAGCAGAAAGGATAAGAAATACTATACTAACTCATTATATGCAAAAAAAAATGCTTTCCGAAAGCAAACAAATTCTTGTATCTCTTATTGAGGTGAATTTCTTCAAATCCCAGAATTTCATAGCTATGATGAGCAAAAGATTTTGGTGGGGGTGGTGGGGAATTAAGGTTTTGTTAGATGGCTCTGTGGCTAATCTAATTCTAAAGCCTATAATTGATGGTGGAAACTGTAGATAACCCACGTTTCACATAGGAGGTAAGGAATTCACAAAACAATTTTTTAAGTGGATGTGAAGCCCTTGGGAACACACATTAAAGCTATGAAACTTAAAGAACAGAACCACAATATTCCTAAAACAATGACCGTAGTGTCTTTAGGTTCTCAGCAGCCAGCCCAGGGGTCAGTAATCCATGAGGCTAGGTTCTTGACCCACCCCCCATCCTTAAATACCTGTCCTTTTATTGTACCACTTCTGATTCCTTTCCACACATTTTGGTCTGCATCACGTATTTTAGTATCACAGGACAGCCTTCCAATATGAGGAGACAATCACAAGCACCCAGGACACCCGCGCGTCCTGACTCCCATCCCATTGTGTTTCTCCATGATGTCCCTTAACAACTCAGCTAGAAACAAGCAGCAGATTTCGTCCCCACTCAGTGAGTAATTGTCTGCGCCGCAGTGACAGATGTGCAATATAGCAGCTTCTTCAGGAAAAAATTAACAGTTTGTCCAGCATGTCAGCTCGCTCTTTTTAGTGCTTGGGAGGTCTTGGCCCCATTATGGATGATTTAGAAATTGAGGCAAGCAAAAACCAGCTGCCTGCGCTGAAAGCCTTCGTTAGTCGCCCTCATCTGCATTCCAGGACTCACTCACGTCAAGAAATTGGTGGAGCCCCTCTGGCCACGCGATGAGTAGGGGCTGACAGTGCCTTGATTTGTTGAGAGAGAATAAATGGGTTTTTCAGAAGATGAGGAAATATCACCATTACTGGCCAATTTACAGCATTTTATCTGTTCTTCAAACATGTCACTTTTGTTATTGTTGCATGGTAATTACATAGTGAAACGGAAAGAAAACAAATTCAGGTTACGTATTCAGATGGATTGCAAAATCATATAATCCTGATAAATGCCCATTTATGATACACATGGATGAAAGGTTCATTTTAATTCTGAATGGCCAGCTCAGCCATAAATAGGATATAGGATTAAATTCCAGGGAATCTGATTACATAAAAGCAAATAGTCTTTCTCTTCACTTTTTCAGATCCGGGACATTCAGGGAGATACCATGAGTCATATTCACAAACAGGACTTTGCGGAGACAATACCAAAAGTAAATTCAGAATTGCATTCTGAAAAAGGACGAGAGCTTTCCGTGAGGCTAGAGAGTTTTCTTGTTCTGGAGATGAGTCCATCCTAAAGGCTTCTCAAGAAGCAAGTGGACCAAGGCAGAAAGATTTCCAGTTCAGAGGAACAGTTCTACATTCTGAACTTTTACTTTCCTGGTCACGTCTGCAATCTCACCAAACACTTAGATACTAGAAACCAAATGCTTTTTCTTGTGTTCCTCTTTCTAAGATGATTTCTCCCCCTTCCCCAGTCCCTGTTATTGTTAGAGTGTTGCCTGTCGCAGTTTAGCTGAGCACACAGATAATAAAGAGCATGGAGATGAAAAGGAACAGGGGGCAGCACCCCACGACTGCCACTTAAAGTGTTGGGTATGTCAAGTGATGAGTCTTTGCTTAGTAGGAACCCGGCAGAAGGCGCCTCCATCGTCTCTTATCAGGTAAGTACATACTACCGTGAATCTGTTAAATCAATGAGTATTTAGTACCTGTTGGCTCCTAAGTTTGCTGTGGCAGGGAAAGAAAGAGAAGAGCCATGCTGGTACTTAACTGCTTTGACCCAGGGATGACACGTGTCACTTCTGTTCAGGGTCCACTGGCCAGAACTGGTCGCCTGGGCCCAAGAGGAGGGCAGGGAAGCAGCAGGAAGTAGGGGGCTCATGGACATTTCTGAGCACTACGTCTGCCATGGTTATGTATGGCATGGTTATACTATTCCTACCCAGTCCTAATATGACATGTCCAGACTGTTCAAAATCAAAGCAGCATCTACCATATTTCATTGTGTCTAAGATGCCATCAAGTTTAAGATACACCTTAATTTTAAGTGGAAGGAAGGAAGGAAGGAAGGAAGGAAGGAAGGAAGGAAGGAAGGAAAGAAAGAAAGAAAGAAAGAAAGAAAGAAAGAAAGAAAGAAAGAAAGAAAGAAAGAAAGAAAGAAAGAAAGAAAGAAAGGAAGGAATGAAGGAAGGAAGGAAGGAAGGAAGGAAGGAAAGAAAAGAAAGAAAGAAAGAAAGAAAGAAAGAAAGAAAGAAAGAAAGAAAGAAAGAAAGAAAGAAAGAAAGAAAGAAAGAAAGAAAAGAAAGAAAGAAAGAAAAAGAGAGAAAGAAAGAAAGAAAGAAAGAAAGAAAGAAAGAAAGAAAGAAAGAAAGAAAGAAAGAAAGAAAGAAAGAAAGAAAGAAAGAAAGAAAATGCTGATAAATCATGATCCCCTACCCATGGCAAGATGCCGCCATCCCAGTCTCAGAAATACTAAAATGTGAGAAACTAATTAAATATGCTCATAAGTATCAAATGAATGGCGCAGAGAAAAAAATTCTAAGGAATATCGGGGAAGGCTGCATGGGTAGGTAGGATTGGAGCTGCTCCTTGAAGAATGATTGGGTTTGACTAGAAACAAGGAGGTTCACTTGTACCAGTAGCTGTGTCTGTTGTGTTGACATTCTGTGGCATAAATGGCACAAGCACTGGAATTACTCCAGGCTAGTGTCAATGCCCAGCCCTAATGCCTTCTGTATATTTGGGGGCTAATCTCAAAAGTTTCATGCTTTTTTGCTTAAGTTAGAAATAACAATAACCACCTCACTGAGTTGTTAGGGTTAAATGTAATAATGCACATAAAATACCCTAGCAGTGTCTGGTACACAGTAGTTGCTCTAAATCAGACAATTTTTCTTTTCCAGTTTCTAATACAGTGATAAGTTGTTCTTGTTTGTTCACTCTTCTGGTTGAGGGGAGGAAGTCAGAGTGTTAATATATTTTTAATTTGCTAACAGTTCCCAATAAAGACAAATGATATTAAATAATCTTCCTAATTTCATAGCCATCAATGGGCATATTCTTAATAATTAACTTCTGCTATGACTCCAAGTAATAAGGTTTTTAAAAATCCATTCAACTAAAACCTGTAAACAACAAAAATACACAATTCAGCCACCTGCACTCAATAATTTCTTACTAGCAGAATGGAAATCAACCAGGAACCACTGGCCAGTCTCGCCAAGACCTTGGAACCGCCATGGCCTCTCACACCTCTATTCTCACAGAAGGGGGAGATACAGAACCCACTGAGAATGCCATTGGCCCAGGACTAATGCTAATGCTATGACAAATCCCTTAGAGAGGCTTGAGATGCTTAATTTGGGATTCCGTCTTTTTCCAGAATCTTTTTGAGGACATATTCTAAAACAGTGCCAAACCTCAGAGCACATAGGAATCACCAGGAAAGGACTTAACATATTGAGATTCTCAGACTCCATTCTCAAAAAGGTACCTGAGGGTGAGTATGCAGTGGAGAAAGACTGTCCTGGAAGAACCAAATTAGGTAGTTTCCAAACCTTCGCCCAGCCTTCTCTGGTAGATCCTCTTGGGTCATCTGCCCCAGCTCTCTTCTTCTGGGATCTGTTCTCAACACACCACCACCCTTCCATCCTCTCCCTAAGACAATTCCCAGGAATTTGGAGTTAGACCTAAAAGGTTTCATTCTAGCCTTGGTGTAACGGGTCTCCTGAATGGAGAAGCCATTGAACTGGGCAGCA